GTATCATCAATATCTTCTTTTGACGGAAATAATTTAACATCTGGTGCATGAAGCCATACACGTAAATTTTCTGTGTTGTTATCAGTAGAATGAAAAGAACAAATTTTTTTGTGCACTTTTCTTGTTCTAGAAATTCTTCTCTTATAATTGCGAAAAAATTAAAAATTTTCATATAACATGATATTGAATCATATGAAAATGGAATTATACATGACAGGGTTGGCAAATTTACTGGCCCATTGAGAGCTGATGGACTTTGGACTGGTCCATTGCCATTAATAAATTACTAAATATGGCTAAAATGTCACACTAATGGAATCAATGGACCATACATTTGCCAACCCTGATACATGATGATGAAAGTTCTACCGCCAAGTATTTTTTTTTATCAAATAAGGAAATTGCAAATAATGTAAGTCTATTACCAATTACTTGGATACTATATGATTTAACTTTTTTGGCATCCTCAACGCTACAATCTAAATAGTCACCAAGGGAATAACATAAACTACAGACGGCCATAATCAATAACTTTTTAACATCTCCAACAGTGTGGTCTTTAGTGCTTCTAAATGGTAGTCCTAAGAACTCTACATTTAGTATCTCTCTTTCGTCAGAAATTCTAACAACTGATATGTATTGGCCAATATTCTGTATAAACATTTCGTTCGTTCCATTAATTGACTCTACCAATCTTTTCTATCCAGTGATATTTTATTTCTGGGCATGAATTCTGAAAATAATGAAATATTGGTGATAGACATTCTACAATATATGATCTTTCATACATTGATCTATCTAATGCTCTTGGTGTTGTATATTTAAAGTTAGTTACAAAATCTAAAAGAGAATGTCTGATAAAATGAATTTTGAATTGTCCGATTGATCATCTACAATTTTTGTCGCAGTAATTATAGTATTTTCAACTTTAGGATAGTCACATCCAAATATTTCATCAAGTTTACCAACTATGTGATCCTTGATTATTAATTTGTTCCCATGATTAATGATATTTTTGATATTTTCATATGTGTTGTTGTCAAAAAATTTTTTGAGATGTGTAAATGTAGCAGGGTTGGCAAATGCGCGGTCCATTGATGGTCTATTGGTGGTCCATTGGGTCCATTAGTGTAACACTTTAACCATGTATTTTATTAATGGCAATGGACCAGCCCAAAATCCATCTGTTCTCAATGGACCAGTCAATTTGCCAACCAATAATTTCTCAATGTATAATCAGTATCGTGCGCACATAATTTGTGCGTTCAACACTACACTTCATGGTTTATTTGATGTGATTGTGAGAGGTCCTGTAGGAGATGGAGATTTATCAACATCATAAAATGGGTTGAAATCCTTGTCAAAATAATATAATGCAAAAACAAATAAAAAATATAAATGTAATAATAATAATAACAAATTAAATCAAAGTTCTTACTTCATCCTTCTTACAAATGAACTCGTTTTACTTTTGTTTCTTTTATCAACGAATCGTTTGTTCTTTTCTTGTCGTTTTCGTTTATAAGAAGTTTTTGACGCAAATACAATGGCCTTATTTTTTAAATACTACAGCTATCGTAGTAGTATATGATATAGAAAATATGTAACCAATTACTTGAATGTCAGAACCAGAGTTTTCAAGGTTGAATTCACTAGCAACTTGAATGGTTTTATGCGCTCTAAAAACCTCCAAAATATGTAGTGCATCAACTTAAGAGTTTACCTTGAATATAGACTGTAACGCAGAAGGCTTTTAAATGTAACAAGTTTAGAGAAATGTCGCGCGTAGTATGTTACGCATAGTGTGTTACGCATAAGGTTTTAGATATATTTTTATAGACAATTACTTATTAATAAACATTTCTAAAAAAAATTAAATATGCCATTTACTTTCTTATTATTATATGCGCATTTATGATATTTCCCTCCCTATGATATATATACACTATGCGCACTATGCACGAAAAAAATCACGGTTACTATGAAGGCACATCTCTAGTCAAGTTGCAAAAAAAAACTGTTTCAAAATGACCACAAACCTTTTTATTCTGAAGTCTCTCCCGGGCACTTTCATAACTTTTATCAATCTTCAATTGCTTCCAAAACTTTGTGGTAGTGCTAGATTGTTTCTTGAACAAATGAATGAAAAGAGTACAGTTATTTCAAATCACGTTATTTTGATGATTTTTTTAGAGATTTTTAGTATTTATTTGCACGAGGAACAGCACATCATCACCAGGAATCCTTAGAAGAGCAGCACTTCTATAGGATTGTCTGCAAGACAACAGAGGAATGGCACCCCCCTGAGCTGCACATGTACTAAAATAAAAAAAAGATTATACTATACTTGATTTATGAGTAATGTTGCAATCTGCCGAGCTGTCTGGTCTGTTTCTGCATTATTAGTTGTGATTTTAAGTGCATTTATAAATCTTTTACGCCATATTGAGGATAGTTCATCTGTATTTTTATTTTCTCCCATAATGAGAGGTTCCATAACTTCTAAAAAATTATCAAATGACTATTTTGGACGTGGTATTTTTGAAGTATTCTGAAATAGAAACACCTACAAAAAAAAATTACAAAACATTGTTTTTACAACTATTTTTTTATATATATATAAAAATTAACTATTTTCTTTCAATAAAGACAATCCTTACCAACTATATTCATAAAAGTGAAATCATTCGAAACCAAGTTAAAATTTGATGCTTTGTCTGAAAGGAGTGTTAAATATTGAGTCGTGTAAACAATATTATGACGCGTCTGACATTTATTCAAGGGAGTTACACGGATTTTCGTCCACATGATGATTAATATTGCATTAATAGTAATAGTAATAGATTAATTACCAAACTTTAATCCTCCCTTATATGGATTAATACACTTGTAAACCTCAAAAAAAACTTTCATATTATCATAATAATAAACTATCTTTACTTTTATACTATATAAACTCGAAATTTTAGAAATTTAATATATAGAATTAAAATAATTTTTTTTAAAGTTCTACTCTTTTGTCTGATAGATTAGATTTCCATTGAGTTCGTAAACTCTTCTCAGTAACAATTTTTCTTCTTAAACGACTTCCATTAGATATGTGGGAATTGTAATTCTATTGGTTCATGGTATGTAATTTTATTAATAATAGAAAATTAACCTATAACCTATTTATTTAACTCACTCTCTATTTAATGACATTTGGAATAGAAGAATGAAACATAACCACCGCAAAACTCTACATAAAGCAGGTGCTTCAATAATCACGCAATTAGGATTAACGTTATGTCTTTTTAAAAGCATTCTTTTATTTAAACTTGAAGGTAAATATATATATAATTTTTCAAACAATAGAATAAATTTATAAGCCTTTTTTCAATCTTCAACTCAAAGCGTTTTTTCTCACATAACTATGCTGAGTATCTAGTCATCAATTATCGTGGTTTATGATCTTGGTAAATCTGAACTTTCAATCACTCTTCCTTCTACATTTCTTTGGCAACTCATTCAATAACTTTTGTCAACATTTCCTGCTAAAAAACACTATTTTAAAATTATAATTATTCTTTTTGGTATAAGTCTACCACCACCCTTTTTCCATATTTTGGACTTCTTTTAGTGCCCAACCACCTACTAGTGAAAATTCAAATAATTTTAATGGACTGTGGCATGTAAATTATTTAATACTATCAATTATCAACAAAAAAACTTTGTCTAATCCTACTTTATTTCTTGTTTATGACGAGTCATACTCTGATTTCTCAAAGGCAAGCCTAAAATTAGGTTAGTAAGATTTTACATTGTTTAAAAATATCATTACCTTCTGAAAACATACAATTAAATTAATGAAAAATTTATCATATTCAGGAAAATTTTTGTAATAAATTTATTTTCCGCATCTAAAAAATAACTTTTCATTTATTGACATATTAATATTTTTCATATTCAGGCAATTAATTTATTTTCCGCATCTAAAAATAACTTTTCATTTATTGATACATATTAATATTTTTTATATTCAAGAAAATTTTTGTAATGAATCTATTTTCCGCATCAAAAAAAAAAAGACTTTTCATTTATTGATATTATATTAATATTCTAAAAAATGACTTTTCATTTATTGATATTTTGATAATCGTTTTTTGCCTTTTTTTTTGTCGATCAATATTTGTCTAATTAACATCAATGCTAATAATAATAAAAAAATTATTTTTGGCCTGTCCTATTTTTATTATTATTTATTATTAACAAGTGTGGGTAATCAATCATTCACATTTTGTTTTATTCCGTGGGTTTCTGTTGTTCCTTATCTATGATTTATCTAATTCATTATCTATTGTGTGTATTTGAATAAATTGGAAGGATTTAAAAAGAAGTTGTTATTTACTATACTCGATACTGGATTTGGGTAGAATGATTATAAATTTATGAAAAATTAGGAAACCGTGCACATTCGAGAATTTATAAATACTGACATTTTTTTCTTTGCTTTTGTTTTGGTTTGTTTTTTTTTTTTGTTGCAAAAAATTAATTTTTAATTTTACACCGTATTTTAATTAATCAAAATGTCTTTTGCATTTAATATTCTTGAAAATGATCCATCAAGTGACAAAGAAGAAATTATAAAAAACCATAATAAACAATTTAAACCGAAGACCTTTCAATATAAAAAGGTATCCATTAGAAAGTGATATTTTTAAAAAACGGTCTGTTACACGAGTTAGAGATATTTAAAGGTAGGGAAATCATATATATAAATAATATTTGATGTGTCGTGTAAAAAAAATATAACATGTATCAATCTGAAAAACAAAACAACACAAATTCTAATTTTAATGATTCTCATTTAGTTTTAATAGATAACCTCATCAATATATCCAGATCAGTCAACCATCTCTATGATGCAGTTAAAAATGTTAAATTGAGTTTTTTTTTTTTTTTTTTTTTTTTTAGGAATAGTTCATATTGTGAATTTTTTTTTTTTATAAAATTTTTAA